AATAAAACCCCAGCAGTTATTAACTGCGCCTCCTTTTGTTACAATAGCCTAAAATGAAAAAAATTAGGCAATTCATTTTATTGGCAAAATAAATGTTTTTTTTTTAAATATTATCACCAAATTTGGACTATTTATTATATGTTTATCCACTTTTCTTTTGCATTTTCTCACCTGTGCATAATAGGCCATTTTTTCCTGTGTCAGCCACTGCAGATTGTTGAGATTATCTAACAGATTCTCTCTCTGTTCATATATAATGTCTATTGCAGTTCTTATAATTTGCGAGAGAGATTGAGAAGACAAGTTGAAAAAAGGCAGCTAATTCACAAAGCCTATTTGGATATGACAATCGTTTCAAAACAATACACAAAGCGGTCAAACCTAAAAAGTTGAAGAAGTGTTAATTCTAAGTAGGTATATGACTATTGCTTATGAAAATTCAGTAGGAATTAAAGGCCGAGCCTCGAAACACAGACAGTCCTAAGAAAAAAATGTATCGTCTCGTATTTTAGGAAGTCAAGACGAATTAAATATATATAAAACCTACCATTAACTCTATTGCTAGTTTCAGTTATTACTTGCTCAGGTATACCTAATAGTGCAACTAATCCGAGCAAATCGGCTCTTTCGAAGCGGAAATGTGTTATAACTTCTTCATCAGAAAAATTGTCCAAGTTAAAAGGTACCCCTTGTCTTCCTACATTGTCCCTATTAATTAAAACATTGTCTAAAATGATCATTTCAATTTCTTCGTCATCTGCATTTCCCAACAAAGCGATTTCTAACAATTCATCCATTTTTGCCTTAGCGTTCTCGAAAGTTTGTAGGTATGTTTAAGTATAAATTCTTAGAAAAAACGGACTTTTAATTAGATACTTCTAGGTTAAAACGTTAGGGAACCACCATGAAACCCACCATGATTAAGAAATAAGAAATTGTCAACTTAAAAAGTTTCGCCTTCCAATAACTGAAATTACAAATAAGAATTAAGGTAAAGCGCTATTTAAATAAGGTCGTTCCTAAATACTGCTTGACCATAAAACTTTGATTCCAATAACTCTCTAGTGTCAACCAGTTTTTAAGGTATCGGCTATTAACGGAACATTTCGTAGGATTTAAATATTCATATCTAGCATCGCTATCTGATAGATTGAGATCAATATGATAGCCAAAACGTACCTAAACTTACATAGACATCCCCATTAAAAAGTTTTAGTGGCTCAGTACGGATAAAAACTGGAGCTAATAAAAGGCATATACAAATAACTAATTTAAATGTGAAACTGAAATATGTGGTATCCCTTGTATTGTGTATAGCGGGAAGATGTTTAACTACCTGCCAATTAATTAATAAGAAGTGCTAACTCATTAAAAATGTTTAAAAAGCAAGTTTAGAAACTCTTGCTTGAAAAGGAATACGACAAAGTGGATGAATTTTTTGTGATCCCTTGAATTAAGTAGATCATTTCATGTGTATACTCGTGTGTATATATATATTTCTCGATTGTCATATTGGTACTTAGCGTTGTGCATTTTTTTTAAATTATATTTTGTCTCGATATTAGAATTTTAAAAAGTTTTAAAACCAAAAATTTCATTTATGAATATTTTGTTTCTTTTCCTTTGAACTTATGTTATCTATCTATGTTAATAAGAATGTAATTAATTCTTTAACACTAAATAATTTTGAATCGACTGAAATAAACTTGTGTATAATGTTAACAAATGCTGAACAATAAAATTAAGGTGAAATTAATTATTAACGGTATATTTTTTTAACGCCGATTTTCTTAAATAATCAGTTTGAAAGTATGTAGTCACTTTTTTTAATTTTAAATTACTCATCAATCATTGCCATCAATAACTTGTATGGTTGGGTACTGGTAAACCCCTTTATGTATTTAATAAATAGAAACACTGGACAAAACATACTTTATTTTAATAAAAAGCACAGAGGTGTTATTTTAAATAGGTTTATTTATGTTTAATAATGTTTATAAATGGTTGATACATAATGTTTACTTCTTTATCTTGCTTAACACTTTATAATGTATATTTCTTTTTCTAAATTTAAACATTTAGCCCAGTCTCTTAAGGTAGTACATCCAGGTAAAGGATAATGATCAGTTCTTAAAAATCTATAAGCATTAGGACTAATGCTTCTTAGGGAGATGGCTGATGCTATGTCATCTCTAACGAATTCGTTTTTTAATTTCATTGCATAAAACATTTATTTGACCCGGAGTGAAACATTTACTTAAAATGTTTGTAATACTTTCTTGAATTTCCACTTGAGAATTATTTTTCAACCGGCTAATTTCTTCTTTCATTGAAAGTATTTCTATATTTGATTTGTTGTATTTTTCGGTCATTTCGTTTAGCTCTTCACGAAGAATTTTCTCTAAAATAATAATTTCATTTCGGTGGTTACATCTGAAACAATAACATACAGTTAATATTGAAATAAAAGCAATTATCACTTCAAAGTTTAATATTTAATTAAAAAATTGATTTTAAATGTTGATAATGTTAAGTAATACATGTTAAGTTGTGTAATTTTCTTTTCAAAGCCACATTTTTGGTTAATAAAGTAAATTTGTAGATACGTTTCTAGTTCTGATGATACCAATATATTTTGAGTGTCTATTTCCCATATTTGATTCTCCTTGTCCTGGTCTGTAGTTGACAAGTGTCTGGAATGTCCAGAAATATTAACAAAGCTGTCAATAAATGTTTGTCGATATCTTTTTGCCTGCCTTCTTAATCTATCATCACTTTCTGCAGACAATTGTCTTTTTCACTGGGAGAAACTGCTGTTTGTTTTAAATTTCTGCCAATTTTAGGTGAGTAGTTTAATATCCTCTGCTGTAAGGGTATTTCAAAACTATCCTAAAAATGTATGGAACAAATACAAGCTTAAAAAAGAAACAAAACATAAAATGAATCGTATTCAAATTGGGTTTGCAAATATATATTCTTCAAATTAATTGTATGTTTTCTCCCGCAAGCGTTGACTCGGGCTTTGGCTACATCTGTTTTCAGAAATATAAAATACTTAATATTTGTTCCCTTTGTTTTTCGTGAATAGTTCTTGCAGCCAAACTCTGCACAACCTGGCATTTTGTTAGTAACTACACTCCCTAAAATATAGTAGATTTTAATGTACCAATAATATAATAATAATAATAATGATGTATTAAAATAATAATGCTATTATTTTTATCTTTAAAATACAACAAAAATGTTACATAACCTAACTTTATATCAATTACACTACCAATTTAATTAGAAATTAATTGAATAATACGTATCAATAATTACTAAAAAGGCCTGTTGATATATAGAAATGATATTAAATATTAGGATAAATATATCTATAAAAGTTCTAAACACTACCAGGAAAATATTAGAATAACTTTAAAAGTCGCTTTTTAACATTCGAGACATAGACAAAACAAAAATATGCTTCGAAAATGACGCAAAAATGACCAAATTTCGTACCGCTTACTGCTTCACCTGTATTCTTACACCATGAGGTTTAGTTTAATTTTTTTGTATTTCAAAGTATGTTTCGAATCTTGTAAGACTAACTTTGATTGATTTTCGAGAGCTTTTTAACTTTTTCAATGTTTTTTTTACCATTGTTAATCAAGCATCAAGTGTTTAGAATTAAAGTATGTATTTATTTATGTAAAATAAACTAAGTATTATGACTGAGTATACGCCAAGGGAAGTATGTCAACTCAAAGAGAATCAAGCAATGAAAAGGATTTTATTGTTTGAAGGAATGCATACTTACCTAGGTTTGAGGTTATCTTCCTCGTGTTTGTAGAGCTTCTAGTTTGTTTTATTTTCTTGATCGTCCGGCTCGAAGGACCAAATTAGGTATTTTTGTCTATTTATTTTGGTTAATGATACTCATTGGTCGAAACACTATGTATTCATTAATACATCAAAGAAAAACAATAAACTATATGTTTAAAAATAATGCGGCAAAGAAAGTTTACGTAACGGTAGAAAGAATATCAAATGAATGATGTCATCAAAACTAAAACAATAGCGTCTCGCGCACTCGTTTAGAGTTTTTACCGGGTTCTGACGGCAGCGCTCGTCCAGGTTTCGACGTCGTTTATCGGTGGTAAAAATTGCAGGTGGACACAGTTGCAGGTGGACAGGGTTGCCAGTTTTGCTGTAATTGGCGTTCTCCAACAACATTTCATATTTGTGCAGTGTTCTTACTATCTAAAATAATAATAATATTTATTCAAGAAGAAGAATAACACAAGTTACAAGGTAATAGAACAACAAATTTAAATAAATATTGATACTCAATAAGTGCCAATAAGGCACTTGTTTTGAGAACAAATATAAATATAAACAAATTTATACATATAAAATAAAATTAATGCATTACAGAAAAAAATATATATACATTTTAGATAATATTTTATATAGGAGACAAACACAATCAACACAATCAAAATACCTACACTTAATTAAAAAGATATCGAAACTTTGACCATACAAAACGCAAATAAATATCAGTTTATTAAAAGAATATTATTTATTACCTCCATTTTCTAATTTTTGATAAATTTTTTTAAATTATTTTTAAATATGGACAAGGTATTACATTTTATGTCGACTGGAAGAGTATTATATAATTTTGGATAATGAAATATATTCATTCAGGTGAATGCAATGGCATATTTTTCTGTAGTCTGTGCATAGATAAGCTAATATTCCTGTGGGAGCAGAAAAAAATATACGAATATATACATTGACATATCTTTCGCTAATCAGAAACCTCAGCAGGTACATTTAAAACAACACTATAAGCATGAGCGCCGCCACATGAGAGCACATGACTATATGTTATTTAAATATTTAGCCCTGAAGCACTATGGTAAATAGCTTGCATTCAGGATATTTTAAGATCAAATCAAAATGATTACTTTGGTAATCGTGATCGTTACACACAAAGGTGTAACTACCTTCACCTACAACACATATTGCTCTATGTGGCTACTTGCAGCAAATGCTTTTTTTGGCATTTCTTCGCATATATTTGAGTTTTCCTGTAGTAAATGATCCTTTTCTGAATAAATTTCTTCCATGCCAGATCTGCAATGTCAAGTTTAATAAATTACATAGTAAACACAAATTGTCTACATTCAGGATATTCATTTTAAAAATAAAACATTTATTTCCCATTACCTACACAATTCACCTCAGAATTTAATTCCTAATTTGTAACCATTTATGCAAAATTTTATGAAAATAAATAAAACAACTGAAACTTTAGGTCTCTTATTAATTTATAAAAGGAAAGAAAAAATAAAGTTTAGGTACAGCAGGAATGTATACAGGCATTTTCTTAATCTCAGTGCTCGACACACTTAGCTATGGCTACACATAGTTTATATAACTTTAAAAAACTATTTTAATCAACCACTTTTATAACTTCAGTTGAATGTGATCAACTTCACAGTGTTGCTCAAATGACAAACTATTTAAGTGGTATCAAAAAGCAGAAAATTTAAATTTGCTCTTACCTTATCTGATTAGATTTATCTTTTTTTAAAAAGGCCTCTAATAGCAGTTGCAAATGGTCCTTAAGGGATCTTATGGAAAATTCTTTGCAACAACTACTTTTTATGTTTTCTTGCACCAACTTCCACTTTTCAGTTTCTGCAAAGGGATTTTCTAGTAGAACTCCTCTAAGGAGACACAAATCATAATAGGAATTGAATCTAATTCTTTTTTCAATTATGGATTGCCTACAAAACAAATGAATTGATAAGTAGAAGCCCTAGAAATACTATTTTTATTAATAATTTTTTAATTAATTATAATAATACTCTCCCTAATTCACCCCCTCACGAGTGAATTTCAACGCCTGAAGTCGACTGAACGACTTGTGTAGGGGAAGGGACGGCTATTATTATTATTATTATTTGTCGTGGCGCTCCGGGGCGACTTAAAAATGATTGATGGTGCCATTTTACTTACAGGTGAGGAAAACCTCTCCCACCATCATCGAGACGGTAATGCATGGCGATTTTATAATCTGCATGTCATATCAACAGAAATTAAATTTCTATTAATACGGCACACATCAAATCCTATACCGAACCATGCAATTTAATTAAAAATCCACATGGTCCGGTGTAGGATCCGAAGCCCTTCTGTCTCTGACCACAAACTTGCCTATAAATGAATATAAGCGCGTGAGACCGCAACACCACCGACCCGATATAATTAAACAAGGTAGTCCAGTAAATTTTTATTAGCACTGTAACTTAATATACTCTTCACACAGTAGTCTATGAAGAGTATTATACGTTTACTTTCGAGAAACCAAAATTTTTAGTAATGATCCAAATTTAAAAATGTCTGTCCGTCTGATGCGACTTTTTTATTCACACGATAAGTCAAAAACGAAATATAATCAACTTGGAATTTTCAAGAAAAATCAAGCTGTATAAGGACACGAAGCTCATGAATGAGAATGGTTAAAATTTAAAAAGAATCATAGATCAATAATGAAAAGTGATGTCAACAAGAAATTTTTAGTAAAAATCAAGCTCTATTATGAGATATAAAGCCTAACGATTCTGAAAAATATATAAATAAAAATGGGGGTTAAGGGGGCTCAAATATTAAACCTAACTCAGATATAAAAAACGAAATCAACTTGAAATATTCAGGAAAAATCAAGCTCTATAAGGGGACGAAGCATACCATTACTGAAAAAAACATGATTTAATTTGGGGTGTTAAGAGGGATCTGTTAAACTGTGAAGAGTATAATATAGAATGCCAAGCATTATATATCTTCATTCTAGTTTATACATTAAAAATCTAATCAACAATCTGTCAGTGCATTAGGTACCTACTTCAAACTCTTGATAAAAATAAATACAAACTTAAAGCTCCCATAGATGTACCGGTATACTTAAACAGAATACACGTACAAGTTTAATACACAAGTATGCTTGATATCTGTGTCGACAACACATGTACAAGTACGCTCGCATACTTTGCCAGTTTAAAGTTGAACCATGTCATCGTCTGAAGACGATAACGTGCTGGCTGTTGTTGACTCTTATCTTTCCAGTGATTCTTTTAAAAGGCATTCATTTTTTTAACCACTGTATCACGATCTGCTTCTGCATCTATTCTCTTTTCTTATTAATTTTTTATAGCCGCCCTCCTCTTTTTCCTATCGTAGAACTCTTTGTTTTTACGCGTCACAAGCATAGGCCCATGTTCGTAAATAGAAACAAATTATTCAAAACCTTCTCGATGTCGTTTTCAAGTATAAAAACATTTTACAACCCTCAACAATTTTACAACTCCCAAAGATGGCCCAACTGACTGACTTTCTTTGGCGACACCAAGAATAAGTGACGTATATATGACAGCAAAAGGGTCACAATTTAAGGGTTGAAACTAGTTTACCCAAAATATTGAACCTCTGTTGACCAAGATTGTACACCCCCTGCACGCCCTTAACTTGGCACGAATAAAAAATTACTTTAAAAATTTAAAAATATGGAAGACGTGTGGGTTGAATGTTTGGAAACATGGATCACATTATGCAAAGAGCCAAGTGTACCCCCACAATATTTTTCCCATTTTTCCACCACTTGAGAGATAGCCAGGATAAAAATAACGTATTTTAAAATCCCTGTCAACTTCACAAAGTGGAAAATCGTAGGGGTTGGTTTTTGAGGGTAGAAAACGTTTTTCCCATAAAAACTGCACCCGACAAGATTTTTCCCACACAGCATTTCGTTTTCCATCCCTTGATTGATAGCCAGGATGAAAATAACGTATTTTAAAATCCCGGCTAAGTTTACAAAGAGTGAAAAATCGTAAGGGTTGGTCTTTGGGGGTTGAAAACGTTTTTCCCATTAAAAGTGTACCCCCAGAAATGATACAATTTTAGAAGTTTGGTATTTAAATGGTTATTTTGAAGTCTGGTACTTGATGTTTGAAATTTAAAAACCTTCCATTTATTGCTTATTAAATATTCAACCTGCCACCTTCCCTTCACTTCGTGATTTTGTTTTTGAGAATTGTCAAATTCATATAGTCATTTTTGAATATCCGGGCATCTTTGTAAATTAGGAAAAATACAATGATAATTGTTACAATTCATCTCTTTTTTATTTGTCAAGGTTAATATTGCAATAAAGAAAATTGCATGTTTGAATTTTTTGAACATGGAAAGCATCACTGAATATACTTTGTATATACTATGATTGTGGGATTGATTTTTTTGTCTTTGGATTTGTGACTGAATAAGGTTTGTTTAACAAGTCATTGTATTCGATTCACGTGCCGTTGACATTGCGACAAAACGCTTTGTAATGGCCAAGAGATGTTCCCGCTTCATAAGACACGAAGTCGTTTAACACATATTTTTTGGGCTATAGAAGGAATGAATTTTATCCAGTGAGGTGACATTGGAAGCTTTTGAATATCGACGTTTTTTCAATTTGGCGATGAATGTAAATTCAGTATCTAATTAGATGAGATCCTGGCTTCTTTTTTACTCCAAGTGACTTCGTACATTTTATGCATTCTAGATCAATTTCGAAGAATTCATCAGTAACCTTCTGTAGTCCATCCGTGAATGTTGTTGCCCAAACTTCTCCTGGAATTTCCAAGGTCACAAGATTATTGAATTCGTTACCGCATTCTTTACATTTTCCTTTTTGCAGTGACGTTGCAAAATCAGGAACATTTTTGCACAATTTTTTAATGAAGTTTCCTGCGTTATCTCCACATTTTACAAAATTTCCTTCTGGTGTGTAGATTTCGCACAGGAGTTCTGCACGTTTATTATACAATTTGTTGGAAGTTCCATTCCTTACATAATCCGAAACAAACGAAATCAATTCGGATTCAGATATGTTGTCCATGAATGTTCTGTACGCTGCATTTTCGGCATAAGCATGACCGATTATTCCACAAAAGAGTCGAAACCGCAGGTGTCTTTGAAAAGCAACGGTACGCCGTTGACTTTTTTCACTGTCATCTTCAACCCGTTTGTCAGAAATGCAGTTTTATTGCGACGAATCCTGCGGTTATGAATCATTTTGATATCCGGACAGGGGCGCAAGTACTTACCCCGCTGTTTTGAGATACTCATTTGGCCTGGTATTGGTTGGACTTCTTCTACTTCGTCACTATAACTGTTCTGTTATCCATCATCACTGCTGTTCGGCAGTTCTGCTATTACTCCATCGTTATTGAATGCCTCTTCTATTGTATCGTTATTTTCCGTATACTCTGATTTATGTCCATTCTCATCCATCACGGTTTCTTTGCAATTTTTTTTTAATAATTAATCGAACTAAAAAGTAAAAAATAAATTTAGTTTGAAAAAACTAAAACACACACTTCTATAATATATCGAACTAAAAAGTGAAAAATATAGTTTAAAAAAACTTTAACACGCTTATATTAGCTTCACCTGTATGTATGTATGTTTGTAACTCTCCTTTGGACTCAAGTGGCTTATTACTGTGAGTATATCCCATTAAGTCAAGTTCGTTCGTGGCAGATCGGTCTAACGCGCGGGTTTTGGATTACCCCAGTCTCACCGATCGTGGGTTTTAATCCCCACGGCTGAAAAAAAAATAATTTTTTTTTCATCAACTTTTTTTTTTAATAATTATTCGAACTAAAAAGTAAAAAATAAATATAGTTTGAAAAAACTAAAACAGACGCTTTTATAATACATCAAACTAAAAAGTGAAAAATAAATATAGTTTAAAGAAACTAAAAAAACACGCTTTTAGAGCATATCAAACTAAAAAGTTAAAAATAATTTTTCAAATAAGCTTAAAACAATAATAAATGGAAAATACTAGTATTATTGTGAAAAAAGCGTAGGGCGCTTTGTCCATATTTCTCGTACATCGAGCGCCCGACGCTTTTTTTTACAATAATACTAGTATTTTCCATTTATTATTGTTTTAAGCTTATTTGAAAAATTATTTTTAACTTTTTAGATTGATATGCTCTAAAAGCGTGTTTTGTAGTTTTTTTAAACTATATTTATTTATATATTGATTTTTTGTAACGTAAGACAAACGTCTATTACATTCTTGTATAACTACAAAGTAAGACAATCGTCCATTACTGTAGCGTTGTATGTGAGACAATAGTCAATCACATTTAATGAAAATAACTTACCTTCTTCGGACAATTCCGAATTATCATTAAATTAAGTTCATCCTGTATACAGCGAAGCGTTGTTAAAATTTCTGCATATCTATCTGTAGCGACATACTTGCACTACATATTTTTTTCATTTTCATTTTCATTACGTCATACACATTAAATTGCCGTCATCATTTAGATAACCTTTCGTGGCAGTTCTAGCGAAGACAAAAGGTTGAACTCATCGCGAGGAAAACAAAATATTGTTTATAATAATTATGACTTTAGAATTTACAATTTTATATACATGTCATGACATACAATTTATTTTAAAATTATATTTTCATGAATTCGTATTTATTTATTGATGGGATATACCACATATAAAGATCCCATAATTGGTGACCCCGTAGAATGCCCGACCTTCAAAGATTTTGAGGATACATCTATCTGATACTATTTGTTGGTGAGATACTTATGGGTAGTACGCGTTAGCGACGGCTTTATTTTTGGCCGTACCTCGGTTTTTTGAGCCTGCTGCGGTTCCCGATAACCCGGATTCTTTAACGGGCCCTACTAAGAAGAAATGTAGATCCAGTACGCCTCCGGAAAATTCCGAAAAGTTCCGAACAAGATACGTGGATTGGACTCCAGATACATTAAACCCGGTGAGTTTAATCTTTTTGTCGCTGACTGCCACGAATTGAAAATATTCATTTTTTCTATCATTAGTTATCATTTTTGACATTATTTTCATATTTTTGACCATGTAAAAAGCATTTTAACCGACTATTTATTTAATAAACTCTACAAATGACCAATTCTAATCATGACGACTTAATTAAGAAAATAACGTACAAATTAACGAAACGCAAATGAGCACTACATAACCGAAGTCATGCAACTAACATTTTTTATTACGAACCGTAATTGTCCAAACATACAACCAGTAGTTTTATTAAGGACCTTAATTGTCCAACTACATGTAACTAGTATATTTAATATTTTTTACTATATTAAGGATCATAATTGTCCAAAAGAACAATAAAATCAGTATTTACTTATATCTTGTATTGACAGTATTCTTCGCATAAGGAAGAACCTGTCTGCATAATAGTAATTACTAAATAAAAACAAATAACTAAATAAAAAGAAAATTTTAACTTATCAAATAGGTACATTTACACATTGATATTTAAAGAATAAAGATTTAAAAAAAAAAAAAAAACAAAAAATATTTCTATTTGTACGTCATGATTAACATTACTTTTTATTAGATCGTAGAATTTTTTAACTATTAATGCCTTCTTTTCGTTAATGTTTTTCTATTTAGGACACTAATTGTCCTGATAGTATGGTAATTCTTAATTGTATCAATGGCAGTATTCTTTATATAATAGAAAGAACCTGCTAGATAACATAGAATTACTAAACACTTAACAACGGGGCAATTTCGATAATCAAAGAATGGATAATTCATCCAGAACACGATCTAAAATACAACATTATTTATAGAAAATACTGACATTACTGATGACATATTTTTGACAATTAAATTAAAAATTTCAATCAATTTCATATACAGAGTCATATTAAAATTTTGTTTTGATTAAGGTGAAGGTACTCGTAGATATAGAAATATGCAACAATCAACTCCTTATCGACTTTTGATGACTGACAATACATTTTTTATATAAGGGGGAGGTATGTAGCGACATACTTGCACTACATATTTTTTTCATTTTCATTTTCATTACGTCATACACATTAAATTGCCGTCATCATTTAGATAACCTTTCGTGGCAGTTCTAGCGAAGACAAAAGGTTGAACTCATCGCGAGGAAAACAAAATATTGTTTATAATAATTATGACTTTAGAATTTACAATTTTATATACATGTCATGACATACAATTTATTTTAAAATTATATTTTCATGAATTCGTATTTATTTATTGATGGGATATACCACATATAAAGATCCCATACTATCGTTCTTTTTTCGTTTTTCCTGTTTATTTACATTTCCATTTTCACTATCACTATCGCTGCTGTCCACTATAATGCAATGAGTAAGTAAATGTTGAGGCAAGAGCGATAAGATTTTTTTTTGCGTTTTTATCTTGGTATTTGTGCTGGTCTGCATGAATCATGAAAACTACAGGGTGTGATAATCATGTAGGACAACAGCGCAGAATAATTATTGTTATTACTTTAATAGAAACATGTAATTAGACTAAGCCTGTTTGTTTCTTAACCCTGCGCTAGTCGAACCTGATACTCTTACAGAACTGGTCGCGCAGAGTATTTTAAACTCCGTATGGATAATATTAATTTCTTTAGTTTCTTATTTTTGTTTTCATAGTAAATAATCAAGGAAAACACAGAGACAAGCAAACAAAGCTTTAATCAGTCAAAATACTTGAAATAAAATAAGAATTTCTTATTTGTACCTAAAATAAGAAAAAATAAAGTGGAGATGTCGACAGCCCGATGAAACAGAAAATTAAATGAAACCTCTTCAACATGGAAATTTGTTTCCAGGATGGCATTTGTGCACGGAAAGCACAACATTTTCGCGTGCTTTAAACAAGCGAAAGATTTACATTTTTGGCAATACAACCTAGACTTATTTTTATTTTTACACCCCGAACAATATTTTCGAGTGCCTTCTGGTATTTCTTGTAGCCTCAGAAGTTATCGCTACATCTTGTCGCCTTTGACGGACAGTTTCCGGTACATTTTTCTGATAAGAGCGTCTCTGCAGATGTTCATCGATCAACTTTAGAAATGTTCTCCGTTTCAAATCGGATTTTGGATCAGGGTGATTAAAGACATGAACAACCTGACTGTTTATCCCTGCGACGTTCAAAAGGGAAAAAATAACTATGGGCCAGCGTGTGGTAATTCGTGCAACATCATACAGTAAACAAAGCTGGTCCACAGAGTCGACGCCTCCTTCCGTTTCACTATAAAAGTTATCTCAGGTTTGTTTTTATCATCAGAAGCGGGATCAATAGTGTCGCTATTGTGCAAACTGTAAATCATGAGAACGTTATTTCCTTTTTTTGGAACATAGGACATTATCCTAACATGCTTGATGTTATTGCACGATGTTTGATCTCTACAAACTCCTTAGGTATTTCCCTTTTATTTTTCCGTATCGTTCCGACAAGAGTCAGCTATGGTATTTCAGCAAATGTACGACTAATGGTACAGAGGTAAACCAATTATCAGTGGTGAGGTTTCTTGATGTTCCAAAAATGGGGGGGCTACCAGACGCACAATGCTCGTAGCGCCATTGTTTGTTTGGAAAGAACCGGCAGGTTGTTGTCCAACATATAATTCAAGATTTATTTTTGAATCGACCAACGAGAAAAGTTTCAGCTCATACTTGTTTGGCTTAGAAGATATATATTGTCTAAAACCGTATCTACCACGAAAACCAAGAAGCATTTCATCTGTTGTCGCGTTCTGTGAAGAAGAATAATGCTTTTGACAACCAGATACAAATATATCAAAGACTTCTCGAATTGGCGCTAGTTTATCTGTTTTCTTTTTCTCTTGTCTGGTAGTACGATCGTCAAAACGTAAATGCCTCAAGAGAAATAGAAATCGTCGCTTGCTCATTGTGAGCTAGAACATTTCTACTCCGGTTCCTTTTCTGTCCCACTTCTCGTCAACGCTCAATTTGGAGCTTTTCAGTAACCCTAGCAAGTATAGTAAACCAATAAGGGCTTTTATTTCAATTTTATCTGTTGGCTTGCAGTCCCTATCTCTTTGTATGCTCTACAATGATATCGAGTATTTCATCGTTGATGAAGAAACTTCAGCACTCGAAAGGACTTTTTGCTTGTTTAGCAATACCTCTTGTACCAGAAAGATGACTTATTATATTCCAGGATCGAGTTCTCACTGCCTGATTTGGAGCATGCTTGTTCCATTTTGTAGTATTGTTTTTGCCCAAATAAAACGAAGCTTGTAC